CAAAAAACTTAAACACTGTAAGCTTAAAAGCATAAAAGCCGCTTCAAAAACAGGCAACTTTGCGGAATCACAATAAAATGTGTGGAATCCGGAGCCAGTTCGTGGAATCCATGAACAATTCATAATATATGTGTTTAGTAGACTTAAACTGTCGCGGAATCCGCAACTGTTAGTGGAATCCGCAAATTGTAAGCGGAATCCGCAAATTGTGAGCAGATTCCGCAAATTGTAAGCGGAATCGCAAATTGTAAGCGGAATCCGCATAAATTTGCGGAAATCACTCAAATTTGCGCAATCCGCAACAAATACCTAGATTCGCTCGTTGCGTAATCCGCAAGAAAATTAATTTGCCGACAAAATTTACGTTACAGCTATTTGTACGCAGAATCCACTGAAACTTTGTAAGTGGAGTCCACTTACATTTTGGAACAAGTTTAAATACTTGTCTCTGGAATCAAGAATCATACAGACACAAAATTGTGCGCCTATCCAGTGCAAAGTTTGGCCTCGAAATGTTTTTTTTTAAAGTTTTTTTGAAAGAATAATTAATACATCTTTTCCTTTTCAAGAAACTTTGCGAGCGGACATTGATCAAAAGTCAGAGAAAATTGCATAAAAATTTAATTTAGTGTTGTGATATAATTGGAAAATCATTAACATTTGTGCTTGTAATTTTCAATAACAGTTGTAATTCTCAAGCTTTTATAATCTTACCCATTCGAATGTTGTTTGTAAATTTATCGAGCTTAAATTTCGGCAATTTGGTTAATTTGGGCTGATTCATGCATAAATTCTATTATCAACAAATTTATAAAACTTCCAACATTGTATATAGCTTCTTAACTTGTTGGGGAGGATTCCAAACAAACGGATTAAGACAATGCTTCAATAAACTGAGCTCAATACTTTTATCAAAAGTTTTTTTAAACAAAAAAATGATCAATTTCGTCACAGAAGTAACGAAACAATGATTTTCTTCCTAACGCCAGCTTTATATCGATCATGTCTTCATTTGCCTCATCTGTTTTTTTTTTCAAAAGGTAATTAATCTGAAGTAGAATTAGCATTTTTCAATGATACTCCAAACGTTCAAGTTCCCTTGACTTGCCATACTGGAGAAAAAGTAAGGGAACTAAATTATGTTCATAGCTCAAAAAATTCCATATGAAAACTTGTGATTGCATATTATTTCAAGATTTTTGTGAAAAAGCAATTGAAGTTTAAAAAATATGTGCAAAAGTCTAACAAATGAACTTTTCTAATATATTTTTTTTGAGTTTATGCAATTTTTTTTGATTTTATCAATAATTTTGATTTTTAAAATTTTCAATAACAGTTGTAATTCTCAAGCTTTTATAATCTTACCCATTCGAATGTTGTTTGTAAATTTATCGAGCTTAAATTTCGGCAATTTGGTTAATTTGGGCTGATTCATGCATAAATTCTATTATCAACAAATTTATAAAACTTCCAACATTGTATATAGCTTCTTAACTTGTTGGGGAGGATTCCAAACAAACGGATTAAGACAATGCTTCAATAAACTGAGCTCAATACTTTTATCAAAAGTTTTTTTAAACAAAAAAATGATCAATTTCGTTACAGAAGTAACGAAACAATGATTTTCTTCCTAACGCCAGCTTTATATCGATCATGTCTTCATTTGCCTCATCTGTTTTTTTTTTCAAAAGGTAATTAATCTGAAGTAGAATTAGCATTTTTCAATGATACTCCAAACGTTCAAGTTCCCTTGACTTGCCATACTGGAGAAAAAGTAAGGGAACTAAATTATGTTCATAGCTCAAAAAATTCCATATGAAAACTTGTGATTGCATATTATTTCAAGATTTTTGTGAAAAAGCAATTGAAGTTTAAAAAATATGTGCAAAAGTCTAACAAATGAACTTTTCTAATATTTTTTTTTTGAGTTTATGCAATTTTTTTTGATTTTATTAGAAAAAAATATGGTGCATAATACTCTCCGGGCACCAAATTCACAGAGTCCTTACCTAGTTATTTTGATTCGTGTAGAATTTATTCCAATTTTTCTTGAAAGTTTTGTTTGCGCTATATTTTTTGCGCTGTACAAAAAATTCGAAATGAATCCTCACCGAGCACACATTGTAAAAATTAATTCATAGCCAATCTCTATGAAATTACAAAAAATTATGATCGACCCAAAATAGTTAAACGTTGCCTTTTTATTTTTTGATAAAATAGTATTTCGTACCCCCGCAGATACTATATCAATATGAATTTAAAATTTCCTTTAATTACTTTTATTCGAATTTTCATTTTTTTTTCAATAAATAAGAAAGCGCTAAGTGATTTTTTTGAATTGTTGTGTCAACAATCAACAATAATCAATTTCTGCTCCAAAAAAAACAAAAGCGGTTACAATGCAAATGCATTTAAAGGATTTTTCTTTTCAAAAATCAACAATTATGTTCGCAATTTAACCAATTTTATCTATAAAAATTTGGTCTAATTGTAATTACGAAACCAAGTATGATGACAACGTTTCTGTCTCGTTAATCCATCTTTATCAAATTTTATCCCATTTATAACCATTTCACCATTTTAGTCAAGAACATAAATTAAGCTTACCAATCTTTAATCGCAGAGTCGTTTTCTCAAACTAATTGGTTAATATCCCAATTTTGAAAAACCACCAACAGTAGCTGATATTTATACTTACATTCTACATGATACATCAAGCACTTCCATTTTGAAATGATTTTCAAAAAATTGTGAAATCAACTTTTACATCACAATCGAATGAAACAAAACTTCTCAACTCAAGCAAACTGTTCTTTAAGGTCTATTTTCTAAGCAAACTGTTGTTCAATTAGCATCTCGACTTGTGGAAAAAAAGGAAAACCATAAAACGTGATAAATTGAAAAAACAGACATAAAAAAGTTCTAATTAGATCAGATGACTTTGTGAACATTTCATTTGTTGTCAATTAAAAGGTCATCATTGTTGCAAGTACAAAAATATATCTAATAGTTGTGATTTTTTTTACTACTGATCCATCAAAAATGACTCTTTGGACAAACTTTACTTTTTAGCAACTAGAGAACATTTTGTAACATGTTAGAGCTCTTTACTTAAGCTTTGAAGTTTCTTAATTTTCTTAAAGTCTAGCATTGTAACACTGCAATAAGATGTTTATGTCTAAATTTTCAAAAATTAGCCTTTATTTTCTTTCATACTGAGATTGCTTTCAGTATTACTTTCCAGATGCTGCGAGAAACATGTACTAGCTAAATAAGGAATAACCTGTTTTAAATTCATACCAATCAGATATGACAAACAAAAATGCCATCAAATTTTGAGAGTTTTCATGGAAAAGAAAAAAACAAAATATTGAAAAAAACTTTTGTTTGTTTGTGAAATCTTTGCGCACATTTCACATGTATTTATCTTCACTCAAATTGGTAGTCCATGTTATTTTAAAGAGCTGTGTTTTTTCTCTTTCGATTATTTTTTTCTCTTGTAATGACAGTTGAACTTGTCATTTTGCGAGTGGACAAATTGAAAAACGAAAGATTTTTTTTGGATTTTTTTGGCTTCGATGCAAACTACTAGGATCAAACAAGACTAATGAGTTTATCAGGGCAAAACCGTGAACGAATCGATTGTCTTTTTTAATGGTATCGATATCTTCAGGGAGTCGATCTCTTCAATGGTGTATTAAAATGTTCTAGTAAATTTTTTAAATTTGATTGCCAAACTTGATTGCAGTAAAAAAAAATAAACGGAAGTAATCCGTATTTCTTCTAAAAACTGGAACAAAACTTCATTACAAAGCGCAATTTCAACCTTGATACTAGGCGTGGCCTGAGAATTTCTCAAAGGGGGTCGAATTTTCAAAAAAAAAATTGAAAATGTTGACCTTTTTTTAATTGACCAAACTGATTTTCTAAGTTCTCTCAAATCACTACAAAGACCCTATATTTACCAAATTTTCTGCGCGGTAGGTATTTTTTCATCATAACGCAGTTCAAAAAAGAAGTTTTTATGCCTTTTTTGAAAAATTTCGACCAAAAAATCGCCCCTCAAAATTCGTATAGGCCAGTCAGCTAAAAATGGATATTTCAAATTAGTACAGAGGGGGGACCCGGCAGGGGGTCGAGTCCCTGAGTGGAAAGAGTAAAGCGTCCGCCCCCTCCCCCCTAAATCCGCTAATACTTGATACTTTTCGCAAGTTTATCCATCCCAGCTTCTTGATAATAAATGAAAAGAAACCTTATTATCATACTTTAGCCAAGGCTTAGATGTTTTCGAAATTAACAGTGTAAAATTTTTAACAAGTTTTTGGTTTTTTTTCTGCCCATTTTCTTTTAAATTAAATTGGACTAAGATGTTTTTGGGGAGAGGATGTTGAAATGGTTCTAAGTTGTAATTTTGAGCTAATCAGGTTCACGCAGCGCGGAGCAAAATAATTTTAAAGGAATTATCGGGGCGTACAGACAATTCGGCCAAAGACAATCCAGCCAATTTGAAATTCAGACACTTCAGCCGAAAATATACAGACAATTCAGCCTGAAACAATTCAGCCAGTTTTACAAAACACTAGATTCGAAAGAAAAATTCAGAATTGGAGCAATTTATCGGTTTAAGGTCGCCGGCTCTAAATTTCGTATAGAGTCCGACCCTCTGTAAGCAAGCTCGCAACACGTTGGTGCGACTGCCGCGGTCACTATTATTGGCTGAATTGTCTCTGGCTGAATTGTCTGCATACTTTTGGCTGAACTGTCTGAATTTCAAATTGGCTGAATTGTCTTTGGCTGAATTGTCTGGATGCGAATTATCGGAGCTGAGGATTTAACCTGCTTGGTCGGGATATTTAGAGAGAAAGAGTTAATTTGGTCCACTCTTGCTGCAAAAAATCCACGGTTTTTGGAACGTCTTGTAATTTTTGTCTAAAATATCAGCTCACTTGAGGCTTTTCAAGAACTTAGCAAAGTTGCTGTCTCAGTTCTACAAAAATTCGTGAAAGCAGTACATAGGTTTTGTTTTAAGCAAAGTTAGTTGACAATCATATTTCACTACAAAATGGATTTAAGGCGTACAAAACATTCCAAATTTAATAGATACATTAAGGAAATCAATAGTTTCTTTCATTTCAATAATTTCTGGTTTTTTTTGGCATTCAAAAAATAATCGTTTGATCAAATTAAACAGATTTAAGTCTAGCTATTGCTTCAAAAATGATCATAGAGAAAGTTTGAGAAAATTCAATCAAAGAAAAAAATCCAAGACATTTTTTCTTTAGATTGATCATTTGATAGTGTTTAAAGATCAAAAATTTAATCTGATGACTTTAAAAGGTCAATTCTTCAATGAGAGAAGGTCGGCATGGAGCTTCTCATTAGAAGAAGTCAGCAAAGTTCCAGGCGGACACTTCGTATGGTTTGAACCACACTCCCAGTTCCTTCTTGCCGGCATCTGTGCTGCCACTGCAGTGGATGATAGATGAGAACACCGCATCACCGCCAGTCTAAAACAGAACAAAAAATAAATATTTTTGGCTTTTTGGATCCCTCTTCGTTTTTTTCAAACGCCTCATTTTTTGATGGTACATTGACTGTTTTGAAGTAAAATAAATGATAAAATCAATGTGTTTGGCATTGAAATGAAATAAGATCAATTAATTTTGTGCTAAGCTGAAAAAATAGCTCAACATTATGAGTGTAAAATTTGAACATTTCAATTCATTGAAGTTGTTAAAAAAATTGAAATCACGTGGCAAAATTTCAGGTTAAGCCCAAATGGCAACTGTTGGCTTCTTCAAGTGCCAAATACACTAAAGTAGAAAGCTTACTTCGCACTTGGCCCTGGCACCTGCACAGACCCCACTGCCCTCCCAGACAGACACGAACATGGGTCCATCTGGCATGTTGACCAGCTTGCCCATCAGGTCAGGATTATTAGCCAGCTGGTTCTGCAGCAGGTCCAGACGCGCCTGCAAATACACAAACTACAATCTTCAGAGCTCGATTTATTATTAGCTTTTAATAAACTGAGAGTTGGACAACTATGGTTCGAAGCTACAATAATTTAGCCTCAGAGCGGCATTATTTCAAAACCAAAACTCAATGTTACTAACAAAGCATGACTCTAAGTTTTCTGGAATTGGGCGCGGTGGGGGGGGTCTTTCAAATTGACGTTGCTAACCTTTTTTTAGGTCAATCAAAGTATTTTTTCGAAACAGAAGAAACTATTTTGCCAAAAACTAGCCAAAACTACCTATTAGGAACTCGCCCATTCCTCGCCAATCTCCTTTGCTACTAGTTATTAGTTAAAAACAATTTTCAAATAAGGATTCACCAATACACATTGACAACTTTCAACAATACCATTAAGCGTTTCCCCATGCCTGAACTCTTTAGGCAACATTTGGCCTACAGTTGCGTGAAAGTTTTCTTACTATTTAGTGCACTCTTTGCAAACAAACTACCGCAGGTACATGACGGTTAATCTTATAACCTATCGGACAAAATGTGTGACCCCTAAACATAACTGCAAACAAACTGAATGTGCTACCTTGACAATCTTGGCTCCGGCCAGTTTGTACCCGGAGGCTGAGAGTGTCTTCACTATCTCTTTTATTGCCACGTTGTCAAGTTTGATCAGAATCACTGCTCTCTCCGCCGCCCCTCCCTCTGGAAATAGACAAAACCAGGAGTGATTTTCTAAAGCAGTTACGTATGTATTTCGAGATATTCCGAAGCCGGTTTTTATGAAAGCCGATGATTAATGACCTAAATAAGCATATAATATGTAATCAACTAATATATATTGAAAGAATCAAGGTACGTTTTTTATCTGATTCCTAAATTAGATAATGCGTTCTGGGCCTAATCAGAAAATTGGGCTTCGGTTTGTTGACATTTAGGCCTAGCTTCTATTGGCAAGCTCATTATTAGTTGTTTACTGCTTTTGATAAACTAAAGCCTGGTAGGCTTGATTTTGGCTGGGCTTGAATTTGGCTTCAAAAAATTTCTCTGATTCTTTCATCATGTAGTTTTTGAGTGACAGAAAAAGACTTTTTGTGACTCTGTTTTACCAGAAGGTATTTGGTTGCTGAAAGGACGAAGCTCGGTGGGAGGAGCTCAAATAGCAATGGTGGATCACTTCAGTTCGAAAGTAAAGCTTTGACCTTAAAATGGGTTTCAAACTGCAGGCGAATCATTACTGAATTCTTAAATCAGTCCTATTTGTGTTTATTTTATTTCGGAGGCTGGGTCAAAGAAAAAAGGAAGCCAACTTGATGTCATTAAACTATGCTAGTGTCACAGAAGTTCCTTATGGAGTTAATAAAAAAAATTCAATCTAATTATTTTGAGAAACTTGCATTCAAAAAAGGTTGGGTCAAAAAGTTTTCCTCCTATTTGCACAATCATGGGAAGTAGAAAGGAATGAGAAACTGGGACTTTTGCTTTTTTTTAAAAGCAAATAAGTACTACGAATAAATGTCCGATGTGGTCGAGCGATATATTATATTGAAATCGTCTCAGTCTCATTCGAAAGACACTTGATGCTCAAAAAAAATCCAGATGCCGGGAACAACCAGTCTCAAATCAGATTTAGCTATGATAAAATTTTGAATTTTTTTATAGCGAGTAAAAAAATAAACATTTTTAATATGGTCGGAACTTTCTGTGCTACTTGCACAGCAACCAGCTATCTTTGTTATAAAAGGAAACAAACTGTTTGCATTCAAGTTGAGAAGTTGAGCATTATAATTTCGTTTTGTGTAGATAATTTTTTTCATATTTTAAAAATTTTATACCGGGGAAGCGTTAATCAAGAATTCAAAACTAATTGTTCATACTGAAAACTGATGTTTATAAATTGATTTATAAACAAAATTGGACTAATAAGCAATCTTTTATACCGATCTTTCAAGCATCGATCAAAACAAGACAGGAAAAGCCCTTATCAAAAATATCATTCGGCTTCAGCCGACATGTATTTGTGAAACTCTGATTTTGCGCATATTTTTGGATGAGATACAAACTTGGAAACGCCCATTTTTTCTCAAAAATTACTGTTGCAGAACCTTCAAAAGTCAGTTATTTTCGTTATTTTCATGACTTAAGTTAAATTTCATTGGTCTTTCTGATTTTCGACGCCAAGATTTGCAGACTAGAAGACTTCATTTCAAAATATCATGATGCAGACCAAAAAAATTCATTGTTACTGAAAAAACAGCTCAGAAATAATAAATATTGTTGTTGCGTTTCTCTAGTTGGTATGAATCAGAAAACAAGTTCCGTGAAACAATCCATACGGAATCCCACTTCCGCTACGCTATGGCAGTGTGGTTGATGGACATTGCTGCATCATTTTATTTTAATAAAAATAAGCGATTAAGTCAAATTTTCCTGCGTTGAATTGTGGCTTTTTGAAATGCTGCTAACCCTCACTTGCGATGAAGACTTGTTAACTCGCAAAAACTTTTTGTGCTATTTGAACAAAAAACTTTGGTATCGTTAGTGTATAAGCTTTGGAAACAAAACAAACAGCGAATCTGCAAAAAAAATAAACAATTTGCGAAACGATCATTAACTCTGCGATATCCCACCTGAGAACGAGAGTGAGATGGTTGATCTCACAGTGCCTCCCTCGCCTGCTGCTTCGATTGTGTAGTCCCCTGCACTCGCCTCATTCAGTGCAGAAATCCTCAATCTGTTGAGAAAAAAAACTTTCAACTTTCTTTGTATCAAATGCAGTTCAAGTATCAAACAGTCGATGCAATGTTAGCGAAGCAATGCGAAAATTACATTTAATGTTTTCCTGTTAGACTACCTTTTGTTCTTTTTAAGGATATGGACCATGTTTCGATAAAGTTATATAAACTGTACACTACCTGTAGACGTCTATTTCCTGACTGAGTTCAATGCCCTCTGCCGTCTGTAATTCCTCCCCGTTCCTAAGCCACCTCACTTTGATGTTCTCTCCTCCAGTGACCTTGAACCCGAGCAGGAATGGCTTCCCCTTCTCCAGAACAGGTCGATCTACCATTTCTACTTTGGGCTTCTCTGCAACAAACAGAAAAAGTAGGATTTGTGTTCCTTTCTACATAGCATCTTCTCTCTAGCAATTTTGCCTCAATTTTTGAAGATTGCATGAAAAATGCTCGTGCCGATGCTCTTTTTTTAAAATTAGTAAGAATAATTGAGAAGAAAAAAACCCCTTATGAGTTGACCTCATAAAGCATGTTTTCTTCTCATTTCTTTTAATTATTTGAAAAAAGAGCACAATTTTTAAGGGTTTTTTTTCGTTATTTCACGAGTAATACTTTTGCAGATCGGCCCGATTTGTTTTCCTAAAGTGCAATTTTCATACAGATGCTCTCTTAAAAAACGTTTAGTTTTTCTTTAAAGTGGCAAAAAATTTGTAACTGGTCTTTTTTTAGTCTCCGTCATTTTCTTACAGAAAAAATATTTTCGTGAAAACGACGGCAAGTTTCCCCAAAATTTCTTTGTAAAAAATGACATCAAAAATGGCAGCATGCTTATTTTCGTTAATTCAAACAAAAATTACCTTCAATCCTGAGCTAATTAAAATTGCAATTGATGACTGCTGACCTTTTAGCACTAAGGTGCACGTCTGTTTGGCCATGCCCAGGGTGCTAGTGGCCATACATGAGTAGTCTCCGTGGTGGGTGCTGCTCACATTGCTAATAGTCAACACCTGGTTGTTGTTTTCATCCACCGTCAGCTAGAAGAAAAAAACGATGAGTAAAAAACGATGAGTGGTATGTTATTCTGAAACTGAAGGAACCATCAAATACTCGACCCTACAAAATTATACTTTAGGTTTATTTTAGTTCAGATTTACATGACACAATGTTTCTAATTGTGTACATACGGGTAAATTGCCATTAGTTAAAATCTTCACAAATGTAAGTAATTCTTTTATGCATTACTTTTGAGCTGGATTTTTCCAGAGCTGGAGTTGATAATTTTGAGAAACAAGGTTTTTTATCAAATCATTTAGGAGGACAACAGACAATTATCAATAATTATCACGTGACTGACCTGGTAGTCTCCGTCGGATTTCAGCTCCTCGTTGTACTTGAGCCACTTGACCTCTGGCTTCGGCTCCCCACTCACTCTGCATGACAGCACTATGCGGCCATTCATGGGGTCGAAGTCCACCTTGAGGGGGATCTCGAACTGAGGTCTGTTTGTGTTCTCTTGCTCTGAAAAGTTAAAAATAATTTTACAAACGCTTTTAAGAAATCTATAGTTAATGCAAAATTGTTCGCAAATTCTTTGAAGGTCAATATCGATACTGAACCAAATTCATCAAGCTAAAAATGTTCACTCCGACTTCGGATATTGTTTTTCATTCACTTCAGCACTTAAAAACGGTGTTAAAACTTCTATATAACAGAAAAAATACTATTTTTTGACCAATTAGTTTGCTCAAGGTCACCAATACTGCCAACAATTTGGCATTAACTATGAAGAATAATTGCAGCGGTTTTTTACTGAAAGGTAGAAAGAGTTGATAGACACATTTTGAAAAGTTTAGAAAATCCAGAACATCCCTTGTTTTTACCTGAAAATGCAAAATCATCAATTTTTACCATTCGAATTGAAATATCAATATACATGTTCAGAAACCTCATTTGGAAAAGCTTTGGCATATCCTTTCAACAAAGTTGAAAACAATTTCAACCGTTTTAGTAGAAAGATTTCACGAGTAATAAAGAAACTGTTGACGATGTGAGACAATTTTTTGAATCAAGAAGGACAGAAAGAAGCTTTCATAGAGATTGTGGTAACTAACTGATTGAACCATCTTCTAAAAAAGAAAGAAACAAGACTCTAAGAAACTTTATTTATAGTTTATCTTGACGTGATGAAACAAGCGCTGCTAAATATTGGTGAACAGCTGACAATGAATATTTTGCAATGGTCGATCACTTACTTTTCGGACACAAGATTAAGCATCCGGTGAGTTTAGGGGAAGGGAGGCTTTTTTTGAATGAATATATTTCAATTACGAACTCTAGCAAAAGTCCGATCATGTCAAAAAGAGTTTTATATTGTATCTTTTGTATTTTGTAAACCGAGGAAGATTTGCCTGCTTATGTGTCTCTTAGCGGTGAATCAAGAAATCTATACTAACTGGTCTGTTTGATGGAGATGTTGATTGACCTCTTGGATGTTCCGGCAGGACTGACCGCAGTCGCACTGTACTCACCCTCTTTCGCCTCAGTGAAGTTCAGAATATGCACAATCTTCATATCCGGGTCATCTGGCGAGTCCTTGAACTCAACCTAAAATCGGAAGTAAAAGAATCCAGTGTTGATAATGAAATTTTCCGCCATCTTTTTTATGCGGGATCATTCATTTGTAACTAGGCTTTTTTCGGTATTGGTTCAAGGATGATTGTTGAAGTAGGTACGCCAACTTTCTTGAAAGGTTCAGTTTAAGCAGATCAATTAACTAGTACACTACACTTGTTCAAATACTGCTCTTACCTCTGGACCAGCCACCAGTGTTTTGCCATCAGGTCCAGACCAGGTAAGGTCGGGCTTGGGGTATCCGCTAATCTTGCACTTGAGGATGAGGAGCTTCTTAGCTGGATCATATATGGTCGACAAGGGGATGTCAAACGTCGGTTTCTGCTGAGGTGGTTCTGAAAAATCAGTTTGGACGGTCACTTCCGGTTGCTTGAAAGAGACTCCATTGATCAAACAGTCTTTAAAGTATGTCAATCTCGACTAAAAGTCATAGACGATTTTTTAAGAAAATCAAAAATTTTTGCAACTGAAATCTTCTATCGAAAAACATGGTTTTGTTTTTTAATTCCCTAGCGATTAGGTATATACTCCAAGTATGATACTACTGTAATATTACTTTTCATAGGAGATACGAGCAAAATTTCTCACCTTGGATGTCGACCTTGGCGCCAGTTACGTCAGATCCGATTCGACTGACGACCTTCAACTCATACTGTCCTGCATTCACATCGTCCATGCTCTTCACAATCAACTCTGCCTCCCCAGTCTCGAAGTCAAAGAACGTCTCGCCATCTTTGCCTGCAGAATTAATCAAGCCTTTCAGAGTCAAGTCAACTAGGCAGAAAAGCTTCAGGGGGCATCGGGTATCACATCAACAAACTTTTTGCCCCTTCAAACATCTGGTTTTGATCATTGGTCTGGCTCGACTTAATCATATGCAGAATATATTCAATTTATCGCAAGTGCCTCGTATGTAAACATAACAAAAATCTAATTTTTAGGATACATTTTTTTTCAAAGAGCTGAAGCCTCATAGAAAAGCTTTGATCCTCGCTTGTTTCCATTAAGGGATGAGCTAGTGCTCAATAAAACGAAAACGGAAGTATATACCTCCAACATCCAGGGGTTTTCCGTTCTTGGTCCAGATGAGGTCTGGCTGTGGCTCTCCGGACACTTTAGCAACCAGTCGCAGTGGTGTTCCCCTTAATGCCTTAGTTGCAGTGAGAGGCTGCTCAATCTTAGGCTTCTTGGGAGGCTCTAGAAAAAATTTGTTTCGTTTATTTTTTGTAAAATGTTGGATGAAAAATTAGACTATTTTAACATCATATTAGTTAGTATTGGTAATGATATAATAAAATATTCGATTTTAGATGGTTTCATAATTCAAGACTTTTTCGCAAATTTTTTTCGAGTTCTTGGCGTCAAGATTTTGCTTTTCAATCAGAAGGTTATGATTCGTATTGTGGTAATGGTAATTACGGGTTAAGTTTGTCGAACCTCCTGACCAAACAAAAAGGAGAACTATTACTCGGAATAAAGAGATTGAACGAACAACAGATCTGCAGTGAAAATCTATAATCATGTAAATTAATTAAAACGACCTTGAATCGCAAAAGAAGTGCTTCGCTGAATCAAATAGTTCACTCTGAAATGTTGGGAAATCAGAGACACGGACTATACTCGGTAGCCTTTCATAGATTCTCTGCGAATCATAGAAACCACAATTACTTTTATTATATTATGTGTTAGGTCGAACAAGAATGTTAATCTGAAAATTAGAGGCACTAAGAACTAAAAAGTGTCCATCTGAGTTATTGGAAACAATAAATGAAACCCAGGGTAGATCTATCCCTTTTGTAAGATGTGGATGGTGACAAAACTCCGAAACGCGGTTCAAATTTTGGAAGATTTACTATTTGCCCTGAAAATTGATGTTATAGTGATGACGTAGCATGAGTACTCACTCTCTGGCTGGCATGCGTAATTGGCGATTTCAGTGCCTGCCTCGCTCTCTGCCACACACTGGTAGTTGCCTATATGCTCAGGCCCAAAATCAGCAATGATCAGCTCATGCTTGCCTGAAAAAAAGTTTCTTTCGTGGTTCTATGCGATGCTGCCTGTCTTCGTAGACAAGATTTTTATTTGTGTAAAGTGTAAAACGTAAAATTTCTCAAAAATAACGCCATCGGCACGAAATAATTGCATTTTGTGTTTTCATTCCAAATAAAAAAAATCTTCTCAAGGTGATCAAACTTGATAGGCATTTAAACATACCTTTTGTATGTTTTTTGAAGAAAAAAAAACAGTTATCCAAAATATTCTACTGGGTAACTGTTTTGTAACAAGAACCAAAAATGCGAGCTCTAATTTACTAAAGCGCTGCTTTAATTTTTATCGAAAGCTCTTCATATGTAGACTGACCAGTGACATCGTCAGAGACAAGTTTGACCCCATTCTCTCCGTCCTTTACCTCTACTCCGTCCTTCATCCACTTGACCTTTGGCTTGGGGTTTCCGGACACTCTGGTGGATAGTCGGAACTCCTTGCCCCAATCTATCTTGTTACCTTTGATGTCGCCGTCAAACGCAGGCTTGATCATTGCCTCTAGAAAACGCAAAAAAATTTAGCACCAGGAAAACAAAATAAAAAAACTATCGAGAAAATTTTGGCGAATTTTTACTTAAATTGTTTGGTTTTTCCCATACTTGCAAATTTTTATTCCTAATTTGCCTCAGAAAAAAGTTTATAATAATACTTATAGATCTCATTTTATAGATCAATAACCAGTTGATTGGTAAACAGGAATTCTTTCCTTTTTTTTTCAATGTTTTGTACTATTAGTTCGATTAGGTTTCGAATAAGGCTTGATCTGGAAGGTGAAAGCAACCCAATAAACATCTGAAATAACTTGACTGTCCTGACCTTTGACCTTGACAGTGCACTTGCACACTTCAGTTCCTGCAGCATTCTTCAGCTCCACTGCATACTCTCCCGAGTGCAAATCACTCACGTCATAGATGACTAGCTCCTTCGTACCTGCGAACAAAAACCAGCTAGAAAAATATCTTCCATATCACAAAAACTAAACTAGCAACGGGCGATGTCAATGCATATATTGAAAAAAGACTCGAGAATAAATCTATGAAAAATCTTCATTTTATATTGGCCCAATTTCTGAGAAATTGACTGAATTTTGTTCTAAATTTACAGGAATGTTGATCTGTAACAGTGGCGCGCGCAAACTTCTTTGACGGATAGAGGGGGGGTTGCTGTACATCAAAACGAGCAACAAGACTGCTCGTATATCATGATGAAGCCTTTTATGTTCCAACTGCACTTTAAAGCCAATTCAAATATTTTTGTTATAAAACTAACAAAATAGTTGAAGAAAAAAGAAAACGTAAACTGCAAAGGGATGCACTTGGTGTCTTGAATACGTATAATACGAACAATTGACTTGCCTCAATTCAATCGAGAACACATTAATTACAAGAACGCAATATATCGCGAATTAATTATCCCAAGTTAGCCAAACTAGCAACTTTCAAACCAACGTAACTTTACAAAAAAATGATCACGGGTAAAATATCTTGCTTAATTTGAGCTCAAGAAAACAATATGTCTCAGATGATATAAAAATTTTGAATAAAAAAACACCACAAGCACAAACATTCTGTTCTTTTTCCGAAAGTCGGAACAATTAAAATACTCGAAGCTTCGCTTAATACGAGCAATCTTGTTTATTCCTTGGGTTCTTTTCAGCTCATAATGGCCTACTGATTCTTTGGAGCAAACTGATGAGTGAATAAAGTCAACAACAGGTTGTTTGAAAAAAAAATCTTTTTCAAACTTCGTGTGCAACTCAATAGCAATAGCCACCTTCAGCTTCGTTGTGGAGAAGGTCCACTCCCCTCCTCTCGCTGATCTCCTTGCCCGCCCTGGTCCATTTGCAGCTGGGGGTGGGGCAGCCCTCGTACTTGACCCTCAACTTCAGATTCTGACCCTTGAACACTTCAGTGTTCTTCATCGGCTCCACCACTATCGGCTTAGATTGCTCTGAAATGTCAAACAATATACACATTGCAAAGTTGATTTGTACAAAATTGACCGGGTCAATTTTCAGTTGTGAAACAAACCCTCAAAATAATTGAATTTGTAAATCACTCCTTTTGTTTTTCTCTATTGACCATTCTCTCATTGGGTCCTTATGATTCGATTAAAACTTATTTGGATGCCGCAGTTCAAACAATGCTGAGTCATATTCTCGAATTACACGCATGAAAACAATCATGGACATAACTGAAGTCGAGAAAGATCTATTAAATTTACCACAGTTGTCGAAAGAAAAATCCGCTGTCCTTTAAAAACAGACTGTATGGCCACTCACTTTTGATGGATACTTTGGCGCTCATGGTCTCTTTGCCCACTTGGTTGGCAGCCTCTACTGTCCACTCACCAGCATGTATGGCCTCTGCTTTTAAGATTTCTAGAATGTGCAACTCCGGATCCTGCTTGTCAGTGTACATCTTCACTGTATCACTCTCCGTCACCTGAAAAGGAAGAAAAACGACGAGCCATGATTGGACTTCGAAGGTCATCAATTAAGAGGAATTAGTTGATCAAAATGCAATTGAGCGTGTTTTAGGATTAGATAATGCGGAGTTTAACAGCCTCACGTAGGCTTCCGAAGGGTTTGAGTTCGCTTAAGAAACTGCAATTAAAAAAAGTGACGCTAAGATAGTCGCGGAAATTGACCTGTTGAAATAGATGAGTTCGAAAGATCGAGCACGAAGTCTATCATTTGCGATTTGAACGTTATATCTGTTGCTTTAAGATGATTTATAGATTACTTCAGTAGGTTACCTTTTGACCTTTGTTCATCCATGTGATGACCGGTTTTGGGTATCCAGTGACTCCACATTTCAACGTGAATTTCTTTCCCTTCTCAGTCGCCACTGAGAGCATCGGAAGTTTGAACGATGGCTTAGTGGGCTTCGCTGAAACGCCGAATTCATTTTAAGTTGCCATGATAATTTAATTTTTATTGAGTGATCAATTCGAAGAAAGTACAGACGGGATAGAAAATCAAACAAACGAATCAATAGTGCGCTTTTACGTATATTTAAAAAAAAAGATTAATGCGGGAAACCTTCATTTTTTCAGTTCGAAACTTCGAAACCCTCAAAGGGATGACAATGAACGGTTTATAAAACTTTAGATTGCAAGTTATTTCATCTCTTCATAAACGAATACCATTTGTTCACTCCATGTGCACAATTATTCTGTGAAATCAATTTGTTTTTATCAAACAGTCCTTTTCTGTGCAGAACAATTTTTGAAACGTCACTTACTGCCTGAAAAGCACGGCAATTCATTATTGCATTAATGAGCTAACAGCCGGTTCGAAGAAAGGTAAACAGATGGCAACCTCTGCAAAACTGCGGTCGACTGAGATTTTGAGCGGATTGTCGATAAACTTTTTTATAAGTCCCGCTTCTCTTAACGAAAATTCGAGAAAACTCATTTACGTAACTTGATGTAATAGAAAACATAAATATATGCCTTGAAATTAATTGATATCTACGACATAAGTGTAATTTTCATGTGTGATATAATTGTGATATCTTTGCGAGTTTCAGTAAAGCCGGGAGATTTTTCACTTTTCAAAATTTGAGCTTAAAAGGTGCTTTTTTTCAGACTTTCGAAACTCTTATTTTTAAAATTGTCATCCTTTTTCCGAAATATTAAACATTTAACAAACGGTTTTTTGCGGTCGATCATTCATGGTTTTATCCTATAACATTGTCATCAATCCGAGCTAAAACTTGGGCCTTTTTTGGTTAAAAATTATTAGAACAAAAGTAGGTTATAAATTCTGTCTTTGACTTGACTTATGTCCTTAAACTGATGAGCTTAATAAAATTTTGCTAAATAACAAACCAGTTGGTCATAAACACTTATAAATTCTTTGACCTCTTTTTTGGTTCGCTTGTTGTTCCAAGAATGGAGCTTTAAAATTTAATTTACTTGCTTAAAGTTAAGTTTTTAGGGCTTATATTTTAAATTTCTTCTAATTAAATTGTTGTAAGCCTGCTCGCTTGCTTTATTCGCTCGAATTAAGACAAAAAATCAAAAGTTTCAACCATTTTTTTTCTTCTAAATACTGAGAAAATTTTTAATTTCGTTCGAATCACGACTGAAAAGGCTTTAATATGATAAATCACTCAACTCAGTCCGATGATTATTTGAGGCAGCTGGTTTTGCGTAAAAAAGAAAAAGACACAACGATAGCCGGTTACTGTGCAAGAAGCACAGAATGTTCCGACAACAGTCTTAAAAAAAACAAAAAAAAATTTCTCAAATTGGTGTCGTTTTTTTCTGCATGTTGTGATACAAAGATCAAAAGGAAAAACTAGAACTTAGGCACATTTCAGAGTCATATTGTAACAGGTCGGTTGTGAAGCAGTTTTAGAAAACGGAAAAAAAAATTGTAATAAAAAACTTGAAAAAATTTTTTCATGTTTTTTGGCAAAAATTTTTTAAATTACAAATCTTTTGAATCCCCAATTGCGCTAAAACTTTCCAAAAAAGACTTTTATTTGAGTAAAACTAAGTTTTCACGGCTTAAATTAAGCTTAAGTATCAAGTATGCTACACGGTCACCTTTTTAGCTTGAATTTAGACCAAAAATCAAAAGTTTCAACCATTTTTTTTCTTCTAAATACTGGGAAAATTTTTAATTTCGTTCGAATCACGACTGAAAAGGCTTTAATATGATAAATCACTCAACTCAGTCCGATGATTATTTGAGGCAGCTGGTTTTGCGTAAAAAAGAAAAAGACACAACGATAGCCGGTTACTGTGCAAGAAGCACAGAATGTTCCGACAACAGTCTTAAAAAAACAAAAAAAATTTCTCAAATTGGTGTCGTTTTTTTCTGCATGTTGTGATACAAAGATCAAAAGGAAAAACTAGAACTTAGGCACATTTCAGAGTCATATTGTAACAGTTCGGTTGTGAAGCAGTTTTAGAAAACGGAAAAAAAAATTGTAATAAAAAATTTGAAAAATTTTTTTCATGTTTTTTGGCAAAAATTTTTTTAATTTCAAATCTTTTGAATCCCAAATCGCGCTAAAACTTTCCAAAAAAGACTTTTATTTGAGTAAAACTAAGTTTTCACGGCTTAAATTAAGCTTAAGTATCAAGTATGCTACACGGTCTTCTTATTAGCTTGAATTTAGACCAAAAATCAAAAGTTTCAACCATTTTTTTTCTTCTAAATAGTGGGAAAATTTTTAATTTCGTTCGAATCACGACTGAAAAGGCTTTAATATGATAAATCACTCAACTCAGTCCGATGATTATTTGAGGCAGCTGGTTTTGCGTAAAAAAGAAAAAGACACAACGATAGCCGGTTACTGTGCAAGAAGCACAGAATGTTCCGACAACAGTCTTAAAAAAACAAAAAAAATTTCTCAAATTGGTGTCGTTTTTTTCTGCATGTTGTGATACAAAGATCAAAAGGAAAAACTAGAACTTAGGCACATTTCAGAGTCATATTGTAACAGGTCGGTTGTGAAGCAGTTTTAGAAAACGGAAAAAAAAATTGTAATAAAAAATTTGAAAAATTTTTTTCATGTTTTTTGGCAAAAATTTTTTAAATTTCAAATCTTTTGAATCCCAAATTGCGCCAAAACTTTCCAAAAAAGACTTTTATTTGAGTAAAACTAAGTTTTCACGGCTTAAATTAAGCTTAAGTATCAAGTATGCTACACGGTCACCTTATTAGCTCGAATTTAGACCAAAAATCAAAAACTTCAAACCGGTTTTTCTTGACACTGTGAAAAAAATTTCAAAAATTTTTAATTTCGTTCGAATCACGACTAAAAGGGCTTTAATTTGATATATCGCTCAACCCAGTCCGATGATTGTTTGTGGCACCTGATTTTGCATGGAAAACAAAAATTAAAAAAAAACTAGAACTCACCCGAATACAAAGTTCTTTCCCATTTTCAATGGTCGGAACAACAAAACAAAGGTGACTGAAATGACTGCAAGTTTAATTCGGTTATGTTTTATCTATAAATAATTCCGTGTGCGCAAATCGAGCCGGTAATAGTTAGTTGGAAATATGTCATCTTTTAGAGTAAATTAAATATGCACCATTTTTTCTAGGTGAGACGATTTTTGTACCGGTGAAAAGGTTGCTCTCAAAATAGTACAAAGGGGGACCCGCGCACCGCCCTCCCGTAAATCCGCTGGTGTTTTGTTTGCTTTCAGATTTAATGATCGAGGACAAAGTCTAGTGGCTTTATACCGTGTTAAGGATAGCTGGTCGCGTTTTTTTTTTATTAAGCTGAGATAAATATATGCCAAAAAATCCGACTCAAAAAAAAAATATAAAAATTGCACTAAATTGAAATAAGTATTTACTCTGTTAATTGTAAATTCGGTGACACTTAGTGAAAAAACCGAAAATATTTAGATCAACTTTCTCGACACTGAGACAGTTTTTTCCATTTCTTAAAAATTTGAACAAAGGCTGAAAAAAGCATAGTTTGTAACTACATTTGACCAGTATGGGCGCATCAGTCTTTAAATTTTCAGCACATTTTAGCTTTTTTTGAGGTAGCCAAAATGTGCTGAAAAACAAAAACAATTTTTGTAGCATATTTGCTATTCACCCCTTGTTGTCGGAACAGAAACTAGCCTTTTCATTTTTAAGGGATTCAAAATGATTTGATGATATACTTTATCTAAGCTAATGAGCGCGAAAACGTCCATAAAAATTTTTGACCGCAACTCAAATCATCCAAGAAGCAATTGTGGCTCTTTCTCATTATGGTTCGCCCTCCCTTCTCAGTAAAATATGAACTATGGACCCATAAAAATAGAAAAACCACTGTTTTGGGGGGGACTAAATGGGAAAAAAAAACATTGGTTTCAACATGATACATCATTTTTACAACTATGATGTTACTATGATATTTATTTGTTTAATCTGATTATTTTTGTAAAAAAAAGAACACCACGAGCCGAGAAACAAACACGCCGGGTATTTATGCACAAAGGAATCGGAAGCTTTTATAAAAAGTGGTTTAACAAGAAGGGCAACATAATTATCAAAGGTATATTTCCGCAAAAGGCCTTACAACTTTTCAAAATGTTTGTCAAAATTTTACTTAAAAATGTAAATTTCTTAAACGTTTGGAATTGTTTTTTTTTGCGACCATCTTACCTCCCGTGCCGGTGGAAACCTTCTTCAGTTTGGCCCTGAAGTCGAACACTTGAGCTGGTTGTTGTGCCATTTTTGCAGAAGTAGAAAAACTAGACGCACTTTTCTCTTATAACTCTCAATTTAGAACTAAGGATAGGAATAAATGGAGTAAACGGAAAGCAGAAAAAGAAAGAAATTCTAACAGTGAACCAGACACGAAGATTAAACCTTCTGGTGCATAAGGGGGTTAACGACTACTGAGAACCATAAACAAAAACCAAACCCACGCGCGAACTTTGAAGAATTCCCAATACAAAATCTCGCCAGAAGCAAATTATAACAGCAACTTTTGCTTGGGTTTCCTTTCGTGGTGTAGCTTTTTACCTTAAAAGTCTTCGCAATTCTGTGATACAAATCACGCTAAGGCAGAAGAATAATTTTTATCTCTGTTTGCACGCCAAGAAGGTTGGTATGAAAGGGGTTTAGCATAACAAATTTCGGGTACCCCAAAACCTACCCTTTTGCAGAACTTATGAGATTTCTCCTGGATTTTATGCGGTGATAAATTTCTGCAGCGGTGGAGCTAAACGTTTAGATAGGATTCAATAATGTGGTTTGAATGCTTGAAGTTAAACCGCAGAGGGTTTCGTTTTGTAACTCTCTAATAGTTTCAGTTTTCTTGACAAATATGTAATTGCTTTCAAACCGGGTCCCTATTTTATCGGGAGTGCTTCGGTCGTTTGAAAATAACTTGTAGGAAACGATTGCGAAATATTGAGGGGTTATACAACACTTATCCCTGGAATAGTTAAAGCAGATAGAGTTATAACTAAATAGGCCATAATATAAATTCCTGTGTTTGGGGATTGTGATTGTCCAAGGTGAAAGGTTATTGGTAAATACTTTGGTTTAAGTTTTGTTCCAAAGGGGTTCACAAAAATGATAATTTTGATTTCTTCGTTCCGTTCAGTCAACGAATGAAGAAAGGGTTCCTAGCTATATTGTGCTCCAATACCCCAGATTTTGCTATAAAATTGAAGTTCAGAAGAATAATTCAAAACCTGATAAAAAGAACCGAAGCGCTACTGAAAGTGTAAGTTGAATATGCTAACTACAACCAGGTTTTTCATAAAAGAACTGAAGCCTTCGTTTTATTACGCATGTTAACATCCAAGCTCGGTGATTTGAAATGTGTTTTCGGGGTTGAAAGTCTTGCTTTTGCCAATATTTTGATATTCAGCAATTCATATTCTGCAGGTTGGCTCAAAAACGAAAAAAACAAGGTCTCATTGTTAAATAACTGTCAAATTAAGTATGGTTAATGTTTAATTAAACAGAAAATTTGAATTTTCTTCTGAAAAAAAATTATAAGCAAAGAGTTAATTTGATTAAGTTAAGTCAATGTTTTGAGTGATTAACACAAAACGCACAGAGTGGTAAGCAAAAACGATTGAAAAACAAATATCGAGTATTTGCTTCAACCAACCGATGCAAAAAATCATTAAAATGAAAAGAGAGTTCAATCAAACAATCAATGCTCAGCTAATTCATTACATTGTTTCTAATTCTGAGTCCGTGAGCTCGAGTGATCTAAAATGTGTTAAGAATAAATCGGTCGGTTTAATTACTGACCATGCTTTACGATCTAATCTTGTTTGATGTGTTTGTTGATATGATTTTTGAAAATAGCAGCGATGATATAAAGGTAAAATAACTAATAATTTTTCGCAGTAAAATCTGGAGTTCCTAGCTGAGGTCCAATTTTGGCCGAAGAAAAATAAAAATTATAGTACCGAACAAATAACAATAAAACTGCGCGTTTCTTTAACTCTTTCCGATGTTTGACCTCGGGCAACTTTTTGGGCACTGTCAAACAGCATTTATTTTGAGCTAACCAGGCCGAAAATTTCTTAGAAAACTTGACGCGGAAAATTTTGGTAAAACCTGCATTTTTGGTTCTCTGGGGGAGTCTGAGAAAGTCAATTTAGTCGATTTTTTACGAATTTGTTAACAACTTTTCGACTTGTTTTTAAAGATCTGCCCATTTGAGTAAATCTTGGATCCGCCTTGACCTGAATAAAATGAAGTTGAAAACGACAAACTCGTAGACTTTTATAAATTGTGAAAATCCATTTGTACAAGAGGTCTTTTGTTAAATTTGTGTCAATTGACTACTTTTAACCTACTCAATTTTAAGCTTAATTAGGAAAAATAGTTTTCAAATAATTATGATAACAGTCTTCAGCATGTTCCATTGGCAGACCGGCGTTTTTAGATCTTTAAACTGATTTCGTTTTGAACGCGATTGACGAGAGGACAGACCTTATTCGTGTTTATAGTTTTAACACAAAATCTTGTACAGCAATATCTTCAATTGGGGTGAGATAATATTCATAACGCTCGGTCATGATTCGAGATGCAACAAACTTTTCACTATAGAAATGCCAGTGTCAAGAAAATTTCAAAAAAAACATATTTCAGATTAATTTAGAACGTTTGAGTGATTTGTTTTGTTTTTTCAGTTTTAATATTCCTTTACTGTAAAAGTTTTTCGAGTTGTATGTATATTCCAGGCAAAAAAATTTTTTCAGGCAAAAACAATGCATTTTTTTCAAATTAACTCTTTTGTATTAGAATTTTTCGTTCTTCAACATTTTAATTGCGTCATAAACGAATCAAATTGATGCTTAATTATTGTTCCGACTTTTGTAACGAAAGAAACGGAATATTTGTGCTCGGGTTGGTTTTTTTCTTCAGACAAACTTCGTCTTTTTAACTAGCAACTTTTGACAGAGTTTTTTTATGCCATTCAAAAATTATTGTTGTCCTTAGCTTAAATTTGAAAAAGTAATCTACCTGTAATCATTTTTTATTAATTTATGGGGGTTTAGAGATTGCAATTTTGGCGCGATATATTTCGCGCTATTAACGCGTAAGCGGCGATTTAATCCGTCTTATAAATCGTTCCAAATTGGTTGAACAAAGCTTATTTTCCATAATTGATTTGTATCTAGGAGAGAAACTTATCAATTTGAATTTAATATGGCGTGTGGGGTGATGATTTTCACAAAAAATCTCAATTAAAAAAAATTTCATTTTCTTATTACAAAGAATATTTTTTCGTTTATTACTGCTCAATAAAAGGCAGTACGAATATTCAGGGCTTTGTCCTGATACAATCAGTCTTGTTATTTTTTTGTTTGAAAAACCAACAGAAGTTTAACGCTAAAATATTTTTCTGAAAAATCTCTCTTCTTACGAAATCAGTAGCGGATTTAAGGTAGGCGATTTTTTTAACAAGATATTTCGGTCAATTTGTTTTCCAAAAAAGCGCTTAAAAAGCCATTTTGGCCTGTTTTTGGCCTAATAATTGCATGCAGTGAGAAAGTTTGTGAAAATAGGGTCTTTGTAAAGGTTTGGAAGAGCTCGGAAATTTTTTTTTCACAAACTAAAAAAACTCGCGAAAATTTTCGACAAAATCCTGCAGCCTTCCTATACAGAAGTGAGATTTCGAGAAAAAGTAGAAACGACTCATCGTCATGAGTAAATTTTGGATCCACTAAATCTTCAAAAGTTGAAATTGAAAACGACAAAACATTCATCATCGTGAAATTTTTTTTCAAGACGCCTCTGGTTGACTTTGTGTCAACCTGATTGCTTTTATTTTAATCAATTTTAGCTTGAGATAAAAAAATAGTTTTTTGTTAGATACTTCACAGTTTTTGGTATGTTCCATTGCAGGACCCACATAGCTAGATTAATAACTTGTTTTCGTTTAGGCGGGAGGACACATCTATTTTGTTTTTGAAGCTTCACACGAAATGATTTTACCGCAAAACCTCCAATTGGGTTGAGATATTGTTCAAACTAAAAGCGTTTAGTCATGACTCGAGCTGCAAAAACGGAATTCACATGTTTTCTCAGTTTCGATATTATGATTCTTTTTTGGGATTGTGGTGTGGCGTAGTTTAACAGTATTGTTATGACGTCATTATTGTATTACTATCTGTGCTAGTTATTCGTGCTAATCTCGCCTATTGGTTATCAAGGTCGCTACCGACCTGCCAATCCTTTCTTTATTTATCATCAAGTGCTCTCACTCACTCTGTCTCAATTTATGAAAGATTTAAGTTGAACCTTAGAATTATGTCATGACATTATTTATATAACTTACCTTATCTATCTATTTACATTCTTATTAATGATTAAACAAGGAGAATTGAGTCTTGTTTAAACAAGTATTCCTCGAGAATTCAAATGGCGCAGCCAGCAGTTTCGATCCCGGGGGATCGGACTGACCTGTTAGGTGTACCCGTATTCTGGCATAAACCAACAGCGGATCCACCCAGTAGCTGGGATTCTTGGATAGGCCAATTCAACCTAGCAATCACCCTAAGAGAAAGGTGCGATCCACGTGAACTATTGAAACCTCCGGGTATGGTACACGATGACCCTGTCCCGAAACCAGAACCTGTGGGGGTGGATGAGGATGCGGTTGCAATTGCGAATCGTATTGCAAGAAACGAGGCAGCTGTACGTAGAGTGACGGAAATCAATGAGGAACGCCGGGCAAAAGGTCCCAAAGTAGCACCAGGAGTATTCTACTATGAAGTTGAGCAACGAATTAAATCTCGATTATTCTTTTCGGTTGGCTCAGAAGGGAGGAAACGGTTCCTCCAAAGTTATCCACATGCAGATCTCAGTGCAATATCATTTCAAGAATTTCACGAATTTTGTGTACTTCTTTTCAAGAAGGAAAAAATTACATTATTGAACGACTGCAAATGTACAACGCCGTACATTCCGATCGAGAATGTTTAGAAGCATTTTATCTGAGATTGACGGGCCAAGCCGCCCTATGTGGTTGGAAAATTGATCAAGAAAAAGAAGTCGTAAGAGATATTTTCATTACCTTTATGAGATATAAAGATATTCAGCGAGAATTGTGTATCCGCCCAGGCACCACCCCAGAAGAGACGCTGAAGTCAGCGTTACTGCAGGAAAAGGGGGCACAAACCGCCACTGATTTGCCAAAACAACTTGGAAGTTCGGCTTCGATGGGCAATTTTTCCCAATCAGGAGTCACTTCGGGTCAAAACACTCGCATAAAACAGGAACCCACCTTCTCTGTCCAAGGGAAGAAACTGTCTGATAGAATCAATCGGGCCCAGAACAATAAAGCAAAGGGGACCAACGAGAAAGCGAAATTAAGTTATTTTTGTGGTAACAAATTTTCAGCAAATCACAAGCAAAGTTGTCCAGCTAGAAATGTGACTTGTAGGAATTGCAGTAAGAAGGGTCACTTTGCAAAGTGCTGTAATTCCAAAAACGTAGCGAATGTGGAAGCTGAGTCAGATGAAACGGTGGAAGAGAATTGTAATTTCATCACATCTGATAGTGAGTCGGAATTTGCTGTTCTGTCAGTGACGGCAGGAGATTCGAGCCGCTCCATTGCGTCAGTTAAGAAGTTGGAGGTGGTAAATGCTGCTACGTACAAGTTACGTTCTATCCAGATAACACTGCGTTGTGGGAAGACGTTCTTCAAAGCAACGGTGGACACTGGAAACCATGCTTCTTTAGTGAATAAGAAAACAGCAGACTATATTGTTAAATCTGTTCCATCAGCCAACGTCTTTAGTATTCAGGAACGCCCAATCGACACAGTATATGTTGATTATAATCGGAAAAGAATTGATTTGATGGGTACACTGATCCTGGATGTGTCATCCTTGGGCTGGTATGTAAAGTCTGCAAAATTCCTCAATTCAGAAAATCGCACACGATGTTTATTAGGTTTGGACTTGCAGTCCCAATTGGGGGTGAGAACAACGCAAGTTAGACCAGAACGGTCTCCGGTGGGTGAAGGGTCCCAGTCAAACCTGAATGTGACGTCTGAGTCCTGGAAAACACACTTCCATTCGAAATTTCATCGTGTATTTTCCAGAGTAGGTAGAGCTAAGAATCATAAAGTATTCTCTACATTCAAGTCTCCTCTTGTTCCGATTCAGGAGAAAAGAAGACGGGTTCCTGTGAATATACAAGATAAAGTCGGCCTGGAATTTCAAAAGTCAATTCAAGAAGGCCATGTGGTCAAACCTAATAAATGTACAAGCGAACATTTTATTTCTCCGATCGTAATTACGGCTAAGAAGGATGGTTCTGTGAAATTAGCTATGGATGCAAAACCCATGAATGATCAAATTCATAAGAACCAATATCAGATGCCGAATTTGCTGGAACTGTTGGATTCGGCGGCTCAGATAATTACATCGGATAAAATAGGTGATGTTTAGTTCACGTCTTTAGACTTGAAATCTGCATTCAGTCAAATTCCACTCAGTGATGAAGTCAGTCGTCATTGCAACTCTAATATCGTCTGTGGAGATCAAACTGGCACGTATCGTTTTAAAACTGGGTTTTATGGGTTAACGGATATGCCGAAAGAATTCGAAAGAATCAATC